AGAACAAGGGAGCTTTAGAACCTGCATCAATGCCAACTTCCTTCAATAGGTTCTTCAAGAAGCCAATACAAACATTAGCTTAGAAAGTAAAACTCATACACACCAAACAGTCTTTGCATGTGCATAACTTGCTTCGCCAGCTAGAAGGCCAGAATGTGGCAGTATCTTTCTTTAGATACAGCTTTCTTTGGAATTCTCTCAGCTTGCAAAATTGTTCTTCATTCTTTGTGACCACCTGAATGAAAATGAGGAAAGTGTTTTTCATTTCAATGGTTTTATTCAGTTCTTGACACTTTTATTGTATTGAGTACTTTTATTTTTTGCTAGAGAATTATCTTTTTATCCCTGTTATACTTTTAAAGGACCCCTTAACGCAGTTCAAATCAAGACACTGCTATATCCTCCCCAACTCAGCAAAAACTATTTGACACTTATCCTTTTAAATACAGTGTTCATCCTTCTTGCAAACAAGGATGCTCTTCCATTGACTCTCAATGAAGCTTTCACAAATTTAGATCCAGGCTAAGCCACTGGCACAGTTCCAGCACATGGTACTGCCACCTTTGAAATATATTCATGAGAGTCCTCAACCTGAGCAAGCAAAAAAGTTAACACAAAGGAAGGCTGGGCTGGGCACGGCATATTGTAGTCCTGCACCTTCTAACCTACTGGCTATTAGAGGCATTAAATCCTTCACAGCCGTGTTTGCTGGCATGTCTATAGCCTGAAGAATCTGCGCTGGGACAATAACAGCACAAAAGTATTATATTTAAGTAATGGCAATGAAACAAAAATACTATTTCCTGAACTCAAAAACAGGTGAGCTTTGCCTTCACTAGGTAGTGGGGGAGCACAAAATAAAAGGGAAAATGCGTGCTTTACCTTTGGACATGCAGACCCAGAGCTAGTAGATGGTTCATTACACTGCTCAACTTGCTCTTCCACACTCTTTTCTGTCTGGTCTAGTCCACTTTCTTTTTTGATTTCCCTTGTCTGTTCCTCAGTTTCTTTAACATTCAGCACAATCCCATCATCTTCATGAGAGTTCATTTTGGTCAGTGTAGGAACTGGAAAATACGTATCCACAACTACCATTAGAAAACAAGGCAAAGAAATCCATATTTCTGAATTTTTCTTTACTTAACATTGTAGTGTCACAGTGGTTCCCAACCTTTTTTGTGCTGCGGACCGGCAAACTCGCTCAAAGAATTTTGGTGGACTGGGTATCTAATTTACATATTTAAATTTTACTTTTTTGGGGGGGAGGTGACTGAGGATGGGGTTCCGGCACTGCAGCCACAGGCACTAGGGAACCCTGCAAGGGAAGGGGCTGCGCAGGCAGTGGCCTGGGGGGACCCAGCTGGGGCTGCCTGGAAAAAGGGGCTCTGCTACCCTCCCAAGGAGCAAGCAGCAGAGCCGTTTCCCCACCCTCCACCCTGAGCATTTGCCCACCTGCATCCCCCTGCTCCCAGCTGCGGGCAGGGGTGGAAGGCCCTGCCCAACCCAGCACAGGCCCTGGTACCTGCTGCGCAGGCAGCGCCTCTTCAGGCATGGCCATGGCAGCAGAAGCGGGATAGGGGGCATGGAGCTGGCTGCCTCCCTCCCAGTGCTGCCCCACCATGCCATGACCTAGAGGCCATGGCCCAAACCTCTGCACTACAGCAAAGCCCAAGATATATCTGACTGCTATTTTAGTACATAATGATCTCATTAACTAATGCAATGACTTAATCTTTCACTACTTATGGCTTATAACTCCTTCCACCCCAAAAATACTATTACAGAACAAGTTATAGATACAGGCAGTCCTAGACTTGCAACGTTTCAAGTTACAACGTTTCACACTTACCTTTATAAATTGACACCCTGTTTCAACTTTACAACACTAGTTTCGACTTACAACATTTGATCCGATGCAATGCCATGCCAGCGAACAAGTTTGCTGCATCCAGCAAAGTCACCTCAAAGAAGTCCTTCCAAATCAATGATTGCTATTTATAATATAAATATATTAATGTAGCTATAATACTTACCTATAACTGATCAAATACAAAATTCTGGGGTATTTTTGGTGAAAGTAGGGTATCGGGCCTTGGTTCAGGAACCAATCCCGCATTTATAACATTGTTTCTTATGAGAAAATTGGTTCCGAGTTACAACATTTCGACTTAAGATAGTTTTCAGGAACCAATTGTGTCGTAAGTCTGAGGACTGCCTGTACTGTATTTTTTACTGAGACACTATTCTAAAACCAATCTGCTTAATTTCTTTGTGTCTTGCCATTTCACATTTATTTTCTAGTAAGCTGTGGGGTTCTATTCCCTCTTCAGTTATCTCACATGTTTCTGCATGTTAAGATGCTTGTCTTTGAGGCTTTTGGAATTCACTGATATTTGTAAAATACTGGATGGCAGCCAGGTAATTTTTCTAAGTTTTTATTTTGTCATATTTTAGTTCCGGCACTGCCAAATGTGGAAGGCTTTATTTTCTGACATGTGGGGTGAAACCAAGAACTATAGTTTATTCTATTATAAAATACTCTCTTTAAAATGTTTAGGGCTGTCATAAAAGCATATAAAGGAATAATGTTCTGAACGGATGATGCCACTTCTAATTTTACAGTGATTTTCCAAAAACAGAATCATTTAACTATTACATTTGTCCACATACACAGAGGCAAGGATTTTTGGACAAACTATATAATTAGGAGAACTGATAGACAAGCTTTTGAGCATCAAGTGCCCTTCCTCAGGTCTAGACTCTCTCCCCCAGCAACTAAATGGCAGATGAAACTTAGTAAGCAATGCACTAATCCTGTTACACTTTAAGGTGTGCAAACTCTTCTACACATGCTCTTATTTCTGAAATTTAAGGTGGGGTCTGAATGTCTCAAGAGCGCTGCTTTTCCCTCCCTCAGTCTGCTTAGCCACAGAACAAATAAGCTTGACATGTCTTCCTGGACAGTGTGACGGAACATTTCTTATTTTTTTAATTATTATAACAAGGAGAACATTCAGTCATCATTGCAAGTGGTCCTAGCAGCAGTAAAAATGTACAAGTTACCAAACAGCTTCTAAACAATTGCTTCACTGGCATGTTTCATCTCTGCAACTGGAGCCCAGCGATACTAGAATCATAGTTATAGGGAAACGGGGCTGGAAGGGATCTAGGCTGCTGTTTGTTTTATCACCCATGGAGCACACTATCTTGCCATCCTCTTTAATGCCATGGAGTTATGTGAAGACTATCGATAAGCCCACCTTTTCTCGCAAGTCATGTTTTTTGTTTGTTTTTGTTGGGGGGGGGGAGAGAGATCTGCTGTGGCTCTGGTTCCAGCTCCAGCCCCAGCTCCAGCCCCCACCAAGGGTCAGGGCTGGAGCCACAGCAACCACCCACCTGCAGCCGTGCTCACCTAGAGCCATCATACCCCCAGATCTCTCTCCCTAATACTGCAACCTAGTCACTTGTTCCCAATTTGTATTTATGCATTTTATTGTGCCACCCCAAAGGGACTTTGCACTCATTCTTATTAATCTGAAATTAAACTGAATAAAATTTACTTTCCAGTCCATCAAGGTCCTTATGAATTACAATACCATCCTCCAAAGTGTCTGCAGTTCCACTAAGCTGGGTGTCATCTTCAAACCTGCTAACTATGCAATCCCATCATCCAAATCATTCCATCATTGACCTCAGAGTCACTGTTCTTTAAAACAACAAAACTTTAAAAACCAAATTAACATGAAATTGTGGAACAAGGAATCCCACAGACTAGACTGTGTTTAAGTACAGTCTGAACACAAACTGTGCTTTCTTATCCCATTACCTGGGTTAGTTTTTGTAACCTGTCTCTCAAGGGGTTAACTGATCTCTTCAACTCACTTTCCTCTCATCAGTGGGTGTATCTACACAAGACACTACTGTGCAGTGGTTACTACACAGTAGTGCTGGCAAACATCTTTTAAATGACACTACTGCGCAGTAGTGCATTAGCACTGTTGGTGCTGTGACACGCTACAGCACAGTCAGCGTCCCATGCCCAGTATCCCTTCTCTTACTCCCCCTTTCCTTCTCCTTTGTATTATTCCTCCCTATTTAGTACTCAATTTAGACTTTTATTCTATTTAGATTGTTAAGACCATCTAGTACTCTAGACTTTATTCGTATTTAGTACTCCTGATCTCTGCAAGTACATTCATAACATCTAACAAAGCAAGCAATAGCCTACAAAAGCTCCTGCCTCTCTAAACAAGCTAGTCTATGGTAACACCCTGCCCTGCTTTTCTGCCTGAATTCAAACTAAAAGATGGCTAACTACCTTGCTAATATCCAAATCTGGCAGAGTTCCAGCCTGCAAGGAGCTGAGAGGAGCAGAAAGACAGCAGTCAGGAAGGGGGTGCCAGGTTCATGTGCACACTCACACATGCACATGGCAGCCTGAAGAGCAGCTCCCAGAGTTAAGTCTAGTGGGGGAAAGAGAGGATTGAAGCCCCCATAGGGAGTGAGGGAGGGAAGGAGTTGGGCAGGACTGGGCTTGTGCTGCTGCCCATCTAGGACAGTACATGGAGCTTGGAGCCTGGGGCTGGAATACATGGCTACATGGCCCTGGCAGAGAAAAGGATGGTGCCGCAAGCAGCTCGTCCGGGGGAGGATGGCTTCCCACCGCTACATGCACTCCTGGGGAGAGGGAACGTGCCCCCACAGATCTATGTATACAGCAGCGGCAGGCTGCCCACTATGGGCTCAGACTCCCTGCCCTGCTGCCTTCCCCCACAGGGCCTGGTGCTGTGGGTAGAGAGTGAGGGGCCTGGACCTGCATCCTGGTGAGCAAAGAGGGCAAGGGGAGCTCTGATTTTTCCATGATAAGAAATCCAAAATTAAATACCAAAATGTATAGGTATTTAGAATTGATTTTATTATAGTGACTGAGGTACTGGTAGGCTTCCAAATTGCTTTGAAGTTGTAAATGTATCAAAAAAAACACTGTTCAATTTATACCTATATATATATATATAGTGGCGTTTCATTTTAATCATGGATTTGGGTGGTTTTAGTCAGAGAATTTGCGATTTTTAAACATAGGAAACCAAAATCCTTGCTAATGATATCTATCTTTTCTTATTTGGATAGGGTTATGTAATTAAGGCAGCTAAGTATGGGGTATATGCCACAGAAATATTAGTGCAGCTATCCTAATTTTACCTGCTAACTGTGCAGCATAAGGCCATAGGAAAGAGCATCGATTCATACAGGTCTGGCACACCATCTCATGGAAGTCACCACTGTCAGGAGGAACCACACCAAGATGCTGTGTCAAGAAGAAACAGGAGCACAGGGTTGAATGTCAGTTGAAGTCTAATGAATTCAGCAGACTTTTTTTCTTCTCTTGTACAAGGTAGAAAAATATGCATTATGTCCACCTCCTTTTTCAAGTTTTCAGCATCTCTGCTATCAGCATATCCAGAGCCCCCTTCATCAGCATCAAAATAACTAGAGGACGGGAATGAATTGATCAAACACCAGCTATATTTCCATGTAATTTGTCTTTGTTTACACACCAACTCTCTAAATCTGGATTCCATTAGCCAAAACATTCATATCAATTTAAACGTTGCATACCCTAATAGGTCAGCTCCAACGCACTGCAAAATTCCCATTGCTCAACAAGTTTCAGAAAACATTTGAGACAGATGAGGATTCTTTAGGGTGATATCTTTTATTGTACCAATTATATAGTTGGGATAAAGTTAGACAAGCTTTTGAATGCAAGACATTCTTTCTTAAGTCTCATTTAAAAACATATAAAAAACTAGAACTCTTGGTTCTAAAATGATACCTTTTATTAGACCAACTGGAAAATGGCAAGAAAACTGACCTTTTCTGCAAGCTTTCGGGATTAAAGTCCTTTCGTCAGGCTCTGGGAAAAGTGTAGATGGTAAAAAGTCCCCATAGGTAGGAAACAAACTTCATTTTTGCACAGGGGGAGCTGAAGATGGAAGGTTCTCCCTCTGGGTTTAAAAGCATTGCATTGGAACGCTTGTCTAACTTTAACCTAACTATACAGTTGGTCCAATAAAAGATATTATCCTAAGAAATCCTTGCCTCTTGCATAATAACTGGACTATCACAGCTACATCATCGCTCTTGCCCTAGTAGAAAACATTTAGTCTTTTTTCACCTTCAGTAGGGTATAAAGAGGTCACAAATCTAACCTGCTTTCCAACAATCTGTTAAGAAACATTCAGACCAGGGGTGTCAAACACATAGCCTGCAGGTCAGATATAGCCCATGTTGCTGTTTCACCCAGTTCATAGAGGTCCCAGAAGGACTAGGAATTTGGGAGTGGGGTGGGTGAGGCCACAGCCTGCTATCTGGGTCCCAGATGGAGACTGAATGGGCACCGGGTGTTGACAGCAGGGGGCAAGCGATAGGGCGACTGGCCATGTACATAATATAGCTATCATTCCCACTGGTAGATCCACATCAAGCCCAGTGACATAGATGAGTTTGGCACCCTAATCTTAATCAGGGGTTAGCAATTTTTTGCTTCCACAGGCTGTAACTTGCAACAGATGCCAGAGCTCTGGCCCCTGCCAGAGGCCAAAAATCTTTGCCCTGCCCCTGAGCATCTAAACCCTTGAAGTACGTAAGTATTAAACCTCACCAAGGGGCTGGGCATCAGCAGCAAAAGTGTAGGCACAAGAGGGCTGTGAAGGGGACATAGCAAGTAAGACGCGTCACAAAGAAAACACTGATGTAAGTTCATTTCTATGCAAGATGACAGTTGTGTTAACTATATATAGATCCTTACCCTTCCATGGAACCAGTCTTCACAAACAATGCACTGGATCATTTCATCCGGGATCTAGATGAACAATCATATTATTAGCAGCAATATCAATCTTCAAAAGTCTCACAGGCCTCGAAAGTCTCACAGGCCTCAGTATTATCTGAGAAACATATATAAATATCACTTTCCCATTCCATGCACCCACTCTGAATAGCCACTATAAATAGTTACCACCTCAGTTGCAAGTCTGTTTTCTCAAGGTCCTGAATGTAATCTGTTACATTCTGAAGACCATGGAGATTCCCACTTGTCTAACAAAATTAGTTTTTCCTAACAGCCAGACCTCCTGACATACAGATTTGACAAAAATCAACTCAGTGCAGTACATCTGCAACCACCACCTCTTACGTGTAAGTATGTGAATAAAAGATATATCAACAGAAGCAGAAAGAAATCTTTAGGTTAAAGATGTCAGATTTTTAGGAGTCATAGACAACCTAATTCAGCCTCAGAATTCTGTTAGATACAATACAAGGCAATCTGTCTTATCATTAAACTATATTATGTCTTAAACTGTTCATTTACGCATTCATTAGAGTTCTAAATGCTCAAAAAAAAATAAAAGAAATCAGGAACCAGTTCCAATCCTTCACTACCTCTCCTAGTTAGAAAGCTTTGTAATCCAACTAACATCTAACCTAAAACTTCTTTGCTGCAAATTAACCTACCTCTTTCTTGACCAATGCCCTCTATAATATACCTTTTTTACATATTGTCCCATACCAACCTTCTTTTTTCTAGACTAAGCAAACCCAATTCTTTCTCTGCTCTTAGGTCCTGTTTTAGAAATCCTGTTTATTGCCACTAGACTCTCTCCAATCTGTTTACATAATCCTTCAAGTGCAGTGTCTAAAACTGGAAGCAGTAGTCCAGAATAATCACCTTGTATCTTACATACGATACTTCTGTCAATACATTCCAGAATATTTCCTTTTGCAACAGCATTACTTCTTTAAATTCATATTTAGTTTGCAATCCACTATGATCCCCTCATCCTTTTCTGCAGGTGCTGCTGCTTAGCCTTTTTTCCCCCCTCATTTGGTACTTGTGCATTTGATTTCTCCTTCCACTTGTCTGCATTGAACTCTATCTTGTTGATTTCAGATCATTTCTCCAATTTATTAAAGTCATCGTGATCACTAATCCTCCAAAGTTCTTGAAACACCTCACAGGTTGGTAGCATTCACAATGATTATAAAATGTAATTTCTATTCCATAATTCATGTCACTAATGTAAATATTAACAGAACCCTTCCCCCCCACACACACACTCTCCTCCCAAGTTTAATGACAAACTACTAATAACTACTAGGGCTGTGCGAAAAGGCACTGTTCCATTCCGACTTCAGTTTCAAGGTCTGGACGGCACTAGATGGCAGGGGGCGGGGAAGCAGCCCAGCTGGACTGACTTCGTTTCGACCGTAGTGTCATATTGAATGAAATAGTTTGAATGTTTGTAAAGATTGCCCATTAGCCAGTTTCAGGAAGAAGATAGGATCTATCTCCTTATCTAGCTCATTGTTTCGGAGCTACGTGCAAAATGTCCTGACTTCGCCTAAAAACTTAATCTAAATTGTACCTTTAGAAGTTTTTTACAAAGAAAGTAAATGTCCTAAATTCCGAGACATCAAAGCCTAAGGCCTTTTAACCAGACTGGTAAAAAGAAAAGAGTATTTACAGTGATATGGAAGTCTCCCCAAGAATAATTTAAAAATGCTCAACAAAGGTAATTTCTGTTGAGTAAGATCCGAGCCCAAATTTGGGAGTTATGATGAATTGAGTAGGAGGAGCCCAATGACGGCAGCTCACTCAATAAAAACCTGTAACTTACTGTCCCAATTTGGAGGTGACTTCGCTTGCAGAACAACGAAGGAAGAATCGCAAGTATAAGTTCAGATTAGATTGATCGCCTAATCAAGCCTCTCCATGAACACGAATCTCTTAGTTCACGCTGAAGCCGCGGAGCGCCCGAAAGGGACTGAAGGAAGGGGACGTAGTCCTATCACTGGTGAGCCCAGCTCATTGAATCGTATTGCTGAGGCCAGCCTATTGAACCGTACTACTGAGGCCAACCCATTAAATCGTACTACTGAGGAATGAAACCATATTTTGGTATTTGGCTTCTCGGAATTCTAGGATTGTAAGTATATTATGAAAAATAACAGTATTGATTCAAATTTAACTTTTAGTTGTAATTGTAGTTGTTTTTGTAACACTAATTCTTATAGCATTGTTTGGGAAGGAAGTGCATTTGGAGCATTGTTTCTGATATATGTAATTATTGTGTTTTTAATGTTTGTGGTGTTTCTTAAAGCTAAGCAGTGTTATATACGTAGCAAAGAGTTTTAAAATAAAATTGTGTTGTATAAATTAAGTGTGTAATCATTGTGAAATCGTGCAATCAGCTAACTACTCCCCCAGCCAGTGCATCAAAACGAATCAGTAAATTGTGTGGGATTTTCTCTATTCCATAACCCACTAGAGACACGTAGCACCGCAGATGAGAAGTCAGCCCAGCTAGACTGACTTCCCCATCCCCAGTGCTATGGTGGAAATGTTTCGACTAGCCTCATTTTGTTTCGTTTCGATGTTGCTGTTTCAACCTTGAAACAGCGCCAAAACAAAATGGCAGTCGAAATTTTGCACAGCCCTAATAACTACTCTTTAAGAAAGGCTTTCTAGCTTGATTTCATCTGATCTGTATCCTCTTAGTTAGCCTAAGACAGTGTTAAAAGCCTTACAACTAAAGTTAAGCTATATCAAATCTACTGCTTTTCCATTATCAGTTCTCCTAGCACAGAGGGTGGCAACCCCCCAGCATGCATACCACAGTGAGACATGCAAAGGCATTTTGCTTCATGCATGTGCCTCAGGAAGGATGGCGAGGAAGGGGCTGGGTCTGCACTGCCACAATGATTGGGGGCTACTGCTCGTGGCTCCCCAGCTGTCCACCCGGAGGCACTCACGCACTCACCTCCAGCAACAAGCCAGGCTGGGACTCTGCAAACCCCAATGCAGCTCCTTGCAACCTCCCTGCTGTGAGCAGCGTGGGTTTTGTGGCAGGCAGCAGGGGCCCGCCAAAAGCGCAGGCCAGCTGTGGCAGGCAGCCGGGAGGCTGCAAGCAACTGCACCAGGGTCTGTGGAGCCCCGGCCTGGCTCACTGCTGCCAGCAGATGTACATGCACCTTGGGGTGGGTGGCAGGGGAACCGCAATGGGCCTGATCCTTGTTGGGGCAGCGCAGGCCTTGCCCCGCTTCCCTGCCGTCCACCCTGAGGCATGCATGCACCTGCCACGAGCAACAAGTCAGGCCGGGGCTCTGCAGACCTCAGTGCAGCCACTTGCAGTCTCCTGGCTACCTGCCACAGCTGGCCCAGGCTCTGGGCAGGCCCCTGCTGCCCGCCATGGAGCCCAGGCTGCTCACAGCAGGCAGCAGGGAGGCTGCAAACATCTTCACCAAGGTCCACAGAGCCCTGGCCCAGCTTGTTGCCAGCAGCGGGTACATCCACACCTCGGGGTGGATGGTGGGGAGGGGCCCGAGGCTGCAATTCCACAACAAGGATCAGGTCCCACATGGCTCCCCAGCCATCTATCCCTGGCATGCCAACATCTCAAGTCAAGGTTGGGCTGTTTTTGGCACTCTGCCCAAAAATACTGCCAACCTGTCCTAGCATATCAAATCTACTGCTTTTCCACAATTAGTTATCATAGCAAAGAAATCTGATTAGCTTAACATAATTTGTACTTGCCTAACAGTAGTCCTGTCTGATGTTTATCACCTTTTTATCCTCCCTCATTCATGTTCACATATATATCTAATAAGAAACCAGATACCCGTGTTTCTGTATCAGTTGTTTGGTGCTAGCCATATTAAGATGCCTCTCTCTGAGAGAAACTCACTGTTTCTCTTCCAATTATATTTTTGCCAATATTCTGTATTTCCCAAAAGTGTATTATAAAAAAAATAGTTCAAAATGAATATACAAGCCGGTCTTTTCTTTTTTTTTTAAATAAAAGACAGAAAGAAAGGTAATGGCTTCAATTAAAGTGACAAAATGAAAAGCCAAATGTTTGAAATTGCTGTGGGCAAGCTTTACCAACGAGCTACTGTTACAGTAGAACTTTACTAATTGGCAAATCTTGTGAATTACGAAAAGAATATGGTCACAGAGACTGCTTCAAGAAATATTTAATGTGCTCTGACCAATGTAATTTTAATAAAGTAAATGTTATTTTTCAAATTTCCCTACCTCTTTTCCATTATTCTCATTCCTGGAACTTAAAAATACTACTTATGTAGAACAAATAGAAATCTTTCTTGAGCTAATGTCACCAAATTTTACAGGACAATTTATGCTTTCAGCGTAGTATTTTCTGCTCGTTTTTAAAGTAGACTCATAATTCTTATGACTGCAACAAAAACCCTCCATAACTGAATACATAAAAGTATTGCAGAGATTATAGTATACACCATACTATACTATGTATATTTTTCTTGTTGCAAAAAAGCCAACGCTGTCCTCTGTTGTATTAACAGGAGTGTCACTTGAAATAAGGGAAGCGATTCTCCTACTCTATTCAGCACTGGTGAGGCCTCACTTGGAATACTGTGCCCAGTTTTGGCTCCCACACTTCAAGTAGGATGTGGGCAGTTTGGAAAGAGTCCAGTGCAGGGAAACAAAAATTATCAGGGGCCTCAGAGACGAGACTAACGGGGAATGACTGAACAAACTAGGGTTATTTAGCCGGGTTGAAGAGAAGACTGAGGGCGGACTTGATAAATCTCCAAAATACCTGAAGAGTGATTATACAGAGAATAGCAACTGGCTTTTCTGTAGCTGTAGGGCACAGGACTAGGAGCAATGGCCTCAAGCTGCAGCAGGGGAAATTTAGGTTAGAGATTAAGAGGAACTTTCTGGCTGTGAGGATAGTAATGAATTGGAACAGGCTACCTAAAGAAGTTATGTTATCTCCATCCTTGGAAATTTTCAAAAGCAGGTTAGACGGATGCTTGACTGAGATGGTCTGGTCAAGGATGATCCCTGTCTTTAGCAGTGGGCTGGACTAGATGACCTCATGAGATCTCTTCCAGCCCTACTTTCCTATGATCCTATGAATGTAGTGATGCCTTTCTACAGCTGTAGAAATACTGTGCATGTCCCAGGTTCCAGTGTTAGAAGCAGGTTGCCCTGTAGAGCTGAGGATCCCATACACTCAAGTATAAAGTAACCTAGTGTCTGGAAGAAGGCAGAGGGAGCAGCAGAAAGAGAGAAATGGTTTTCTACTATTAGTTTATCCTGGGTGAAGGGAGGGAGGGGGGTACGGGTGGCATTATTTTATTTGCATATTGGGGCTATCCCAACACTTCGCTTCAGTCTTACACAGCTATCTTTGAGGATAAAAACTTTTTTTTTTGTTTAAGAAACTGAGATTGCAGACTACTATATAAAATGATATAACAAAGTGACAAGGCAGGTTAAGATTTATTAAGATGGGATATATGCTATGGAGATCCTGAGGACACTATGTACATAATAAAAAGTACATGCACTTTGTGTTATTCCCAATCCTTCATTTCTTACCTCATCTTCAGGATCAGGATAAGGTCTTTTACAAATACAGTACAATCCATAGAAGTTGTCGTTATACTTATTGCCCAAATTCACCTTTACTTTTTCCTAGAAAGAAAACAAGATGCATGTCTGGATGGATAAAGCAGTAAAAAAAGTCTGGTCAGACTGCATGACCTGAAGGCAATTATATATTATTTTAATTTCCTACAGGACAATTATTACACTTACTCACTTGACATTAGTATGATGCCCCTGCTACAAAAGGAATCTCCTGCTTTAGTAGCTTTTCAGGATTCTCACACATGGATATGAGAACTCAGATGTTTCAACAATACCTTGCTTGTGTGGCAGCAAAGATGAGAGAGAAACATGAAGAATGCTGAAGTCCAAAAGGAAAAAGGAGGGGGCGGTGGGGACAATGTCACCAAAATCATACAGCTTAGCAGAGGGAAGCAGGGGGGCACAGACTACAGCAAATGAGACAGGGAAAAGTACTGATCTGAAAGCCCTTACAATCATGGCTTGAAAAAGCTAACTTCAACCCAGTCTTCATGTGCACACACTTTTATAAGACCACTGATAATCACAATGGCAGTGGTTCTCAATCTCGTCAGACCCAAGACCCCCCTCCATAACTTTTGGGAATTAAGTGGCACTCTAGTTCAAAAAATAATTTATTTGAATGCTTACCTCCCTGCAGAGGGTCCAGGCAGTGGGGCTAGGGGAGTGGCTAGGTAGGGAAGAACCTGAGCCTGCACTAATCTCCTCCTACCTGCTTATCTCCTCGTATCTCAGGGTACCCTTCGAAGGGTTTTGCATCAGCCTGGGGTGCTATAGCACCCTGGCTGAGAATCATAAAACCATAGATAAGTAGGGCTGGAAGGGACCTCCAGAGATCATCTACTCCAGTGGTTCTCAACCTTTTTTGTACCAGGATCCATTTGTAAACACTGATGGCCAGTCCTGACCCAGTGCCCCTCACTCTTGACCTGCTGCCCCCCTACCCCCAGTGTGCAGGGCAGGGGGTGGGTGTGTGGGACAGAGGGGGCCCCAAGCATGCCCTTGCAGGCTGGAACCCTGACAGCCTGCAAGGAAAAAGCTACAGCTTCCCATATTTTTTTCCTTTAAAGGAGAATCCATTTTTACAGGTTGTTCACAACCCTTTCATATACTCTAGCGACCCACAGATTGAGAAACGGTGATTTAGCCCAACCCCTGGAATCAATGCACTACAATTTTATCCAAACAAACCTATGAGTTCTGAACCTTCAGTTCTGCCCATACTTCTCAGTATTTTACCAGTGTTTTAGATTCAGTGCTGAAGGGTCTACTGAACTGCATGTTCTTCCCATCTTCCAGAATGGGATTCAACACCTCACTTTGCTTACTGGTAACAGTAAAACCATTCTAAGTCATGTTCTTTAGGACCTGTACACAAGCTAACCCAGTTTAGCCAACTTATGTGACTGGTACACAAAGAATTTAATTAAAACTAGATTTTAAAAGTTATAGCCTGTCTCTAGCAACAGCTGTAAGTCCTGGTTTTGCTGTGCAAATCTTAACTCTATACAATGCAATGAACCCATTTTAACAGCTTCTGTAATCAGTTCTCTATTGAGAGTACATTGTTTTTTGTGACAGAAAAAAACACAACTAAACTCTCCTACTTGGAGAAGCAATACTACCACCAGCTTTTATTATTCTCTACAGAATGAAGAAAATAGCAATGTTTAAACTTACTGGAAGTAATCTGCATTGCAAATTTTTGAATTTGCTGTTTCCACAGTCACAGCAGAAGTTTCTGGAAAAAAAAAATATAGCAGTTCAGATATTTTTTTAAATGTCTCAAAATGATTTTATTTTTATATTTTTAAGGGCTTCCCACTGCCAACTGAGAACTAGAACATACTCTCATAAGCTAATTCACAATATCATCTTTTAGAACTGATCAAAGTCCAGCAGCATTACTCCCTCATGCTAACAGCCTGTCAGATTTCAGTATCATTGTTGAGTAGAATCACTATTCAATTGGGATACTCTTCCGGCCCATGTAATTATTGCTGCCGAGAATACTCTTAGGCTTATGGGTAAGCATATGTGTTTGAAAGACAGCGACTGTGAGTTGACTTGAACCTGGAGGGGATCTGGGACAAAAGCACAATAAACCAATGTAACCTAAATCACTTAACTGGTTTATCTTAAACCAGTTCTGGCCATTTTGAATGTGGTTTATGTGCACTGAACTTCTGCTGTTACAGATTTAAACCAGTTTGTGTGTCATTTCTGTCCCTAGACTTACAGGTATACGCCATCTTCAATATTGCATTTTACTGCTTCGTGATGTGGCAGATAAATGGAAGTACCTCAGAAATGGCCCCAATAGTGCTTTACCTTTTTGTATACAATTCAAACAGCTTGTGTGTTCCATGACACTCATAACTGCAGGCTAAGCATATCCCTGCCGGTTCTTCTCCTGGTGGAGTACAAGTACTGCAAGCATATAAAGCTTGTCTCTTTACAGCACCCTACAAAGAAACAACAGATATAAAAAGAGAGAGGCACAGAAATAATCTGAAAAAGGTCATTTGCTGTTTGACTGAAGTAGTAAATGCAGTTTGTCAGAAGCAAAAAGCAAGTTAATGCTGATGTGCAAGCTAGCACCAGAGGTTCAGAGAGAATCAGTATTTATTTGGCAGTATCTTTTACTAAATTAACCGTAAAGTGGGGAAAGATGTTAGACAAGCTTTTGTGCACAAAGTGCCTGTCTTCAATTCTGGGCAAGCAGCAGGTACGTACAGCCTGAAGTAAACACCAGGTAAAACAAGAATCTTTTTCATTTACACAATGGAGTTAAACAACAGCACTTAATAAGTAGAGAGGTAATTAGCATCTGACAAAGTAGATTGCTGCCTATGAAGGCTCGTGCCTCTTTGAAAGAGTTGGTCTCTACAGTGCCACCCTGCCCTGCTGATGAGACTTAAGGGAAGGGAAGACGGCAGTAAGCCTGTGGCATTAAAGGAAGCCATCAAAAGCAGCTACAAACCAAGAAAAAGGCAGTTGAAATAAACCTATAAATATATAGGTTTGTTTATTTAGATTCACCATTTATTTTCACCACAATAATACCATGCAAAAGGGGGGAGGCTAACGGGGAGCAAATAAATCATAAGCTGTAAAACTACTGTCTGCGTTCAGTCCATAGTTTTAGTGTCCCATAAAACCCTGTGCCTGAAAGCTTACTGAATCTCAATAAAAAAATATTGCAAAACAAACCTTGTTTCTCTCATTCTCTGGAGAGAATCCCAGCTCAAACACTAGAACCTTGCTACAAAACAGAATGACAGCATTCACAGTGCAAATGCACCCCGTTTAAGTGCACAGTGTTGGGACTGATAAAAGGGTCTGTATTTACCCCCGTCTCAATGTCGATAATTACTCATTAATTACAGGAGCAAGTGAGCTAAACTTTTTGCACATCAAAAAGGTTTCTTATCTTGTTTCTCAAAACACCTTATAAACAAACAGCCTTGAAATTGGCAGGGCCTAGTAGGCTTGAGCTTGCCTTAGAAGCCTTGAAATGGACAGCTCCCAGCCAGCTTCGATCATGCAGTTAAACCCTGTGTAACTAACTTACAAAGCAGAGGATTCCCATGCACTTAAGCAGCTAATGCTTTTAACGAATATGTGAATAGCTGATGATCGTTTCAATGTAAGTAGCGGGTAATAAACTGGGACTGACCCTGCGCTTCACAATTAAGCTAATTATGCACTTACGTGATACGCACACCCATATAGGATGCTTGGAAACTTTATGAATAATATCTCATAGTCCCAAGGGCTGACCTCCAAGGTACTCTTCAAAAACACTGCTTACTAAAGCCTCCCTGGCAGGTCGACCCTTTTTTGCAGGCAGGCCTCAAAATAGCTCAGCCACTTCCTCAAGTGCCACTTTGATCCTC